TTTCGCTATCGGTGCAGCTGTTGTTTGTAAAGAAGAACATGTGTGGTTCAGAGTTAAAGTTATTGAAGCCATCGACAGAGGGGAGTGATACAGCAAGGACGTCTAAAACATCTTGCCCAACAAAGTGTTCAAGAAAAAACCAAAAACAATTTATTTATTTATTGAAGTTTGCGATTTTTGCCCAAATTTGTAATAATTTGTTGAAAATAAGCAGCCGTTGATTTAATATTTATCAAATCACTACTCCAGTCCTCCTTCAAGCCAGTTTTTACTACCTGAAACCCCCGCTATCCACATTAATACTGTTTAACTTGATGTTTTACCGTGTAGAAAGAATTGCTATTATCACTGGCATTTTAAGATTTCAATTTTGAATTACTGAGCTAAAGGCTAGATGAATTAGTTACAAACGGAACCAAAACTGTGCACCCACTGCAGACTGTATAATGAAAGCCGGATCAAAGCAACAACTCATAGAAATTAATTAGGAAATAGACGGTACTCGGTTGATTATAAAAAAAAAAAAAACGTGTTGTTATTTAAATTTGAACGATAAAGTCTAACAAACTTATATAGCTGAATAAAGCGATTTCATAACTTTTTTTCTTCAGCTGTTGAAACTCCTTGCAAAATAAACTGCATTTTTATCTTTTAAGCAATTTATGACGATACATAAAAAAGTCCATCTTTTCTAAAACAAAATAGCTCTTTGATAACTGCGGATCAAGGATACAGCAGAACAAATAACACTTTTTTACATGAAATCCTATGCTACATGCGGAAGTGTACTATCGTGTGCTGTTATTAGCTTCAGCTGCTAGCTTAGGGTTCAACTACCAAAAGAGTGATTGTCTGATACAATAAAACAGAAAATAAAATCAATGAACTTCGTAGACTTTACTACAAAAAAGGTTACTGTTGAGCGCCGAAACATACCATAAAGTGTTTATAAGGTAAAAAATTATTTAAGGAGTTTTCTAGGAGTTTAGTTCCACTCGTAGTGTTTTTCTGAACATATTTCTTGAAATACTTTTCGGTTTAGTTTATGATACTTTTGCTAGTACTTTACTGTACAGTTACAGATGTTTTTGCAATTAAGTTAGCACTAAAGCCTGTGCAAAAGAATAAGTTTTAGCACTTTATTCTACTGTGCTGATTAGTCTTAACCAATGGCAGTTTATGTGCACCTGATTAGTACTGGCATAATAATACAATATTTAAGCGCAAAATGAGTAAAATAAAAAAAAAATAGAAGAAAAATTTTTGGTTACTTTTAGCTACAATAAACTGTACCTGATGTTTCAGCTCTCCATCACCAGCAATTTTTCCTGTCAAAGTTTCATAAAAGTGAATTAAGCTACGATCAATTCTGTCTCGAATTGCCACTGTTTCATTAGATATGGCAGCTGTCGCTTCAGTTAATACATCACCCTGGATGTTGTTTGGAATTTTTAGTATACATTGTATTCGACCTTCATATGTCCATATCTGAACTATATTGTCGTCGACAAGAAGAAAATATCTAAAATTGTTGTTGCAAAAAACTTACTGAACGAAATTGTCAACCTTTTTTTTATACGTTTATTGGCGAAATTTTTTAGATTATTTGTGTAAATCAAAAATTCCATTGTTGTTTGTGGTTTTTTCACATATTTAACTTTTTATGCTCTTCTAATTTTTTAATTTTCTGTACAGTTCAAAATTACAGCTATCTGTTAATATAAATTTGATATGTTTAGCTGACTTACTGCTCACAGAGAGTTATCAAAGTAACGCTACCGGCCTTTAAATCATTGATAATTGGGGTATTCCAATTATCAGAACTGAAAAATATATACTTATATAAATTCATTTAGGACCATATATTTAGAAGAGTTATTGAACGCAAAATGCAAAATTTCACTTAAATTTACAGCTGTGTAGTGCCTTTGCAATAAAACTGTTTTTTCTAATTACCAAAAAGTTGTTAAAATTTAGAAATAATTTTTTAAAACATTTGTTCTGTTTTTTTTTTCTTTTACTAAATCTTTATTTATTTATTTATTTTCCTCTTTTCCCGCATCAATTAACCATAAAAATTTCATGAGAAAAGAAGGTAGTCTAAAAATTGTCTAAGTTAGTAATTTAATTTCTTCTAATACAAATATGCAGTACTGAGATTAATGATTTGTAAAAATTTAATCTTTTGTCGAAAAAAACAGTTGCTTTTTTTTTTGCCTTGAAAAGTTTTTTTTTAAACATTTTTTTCCTTTTACCTATTCTGTTTTAAAGAGAATTTTTTTTTTCTTTGTTTTTATTATATGTAAACCTGAATATATAACACTGTTTAGTAGTTGCAACTACTAAATGGTGGTATCCGAGTGCAATTTTGATTATTCGATCTTTTGTTTCCAATTTTTCTTGCCCAACTTCTGAAACAACATCTTTGACATCAATAAATTTTCTTTTTGTCTGTGTTGCTTCCAAATTTCTCCACATAACCCGTCTGAAAAAGCATTTTTATCATTGATGCTATAAAAAAATAATAACAGCATTGCAAACTAACTGAAAAAAAAAAAAAAAAAA